AATGTGCGGCCGAAGTTGGGCAAACTGCGGCTGCGATAGTGTCAAGGGGCTAAGTAAAGCTGCGGTCCTTGACACTTGGGCTCGGCTTGGATAAAATGAGCGAGCTTTTTTTTGGCCCAAACAACTCGGCCAAAAAAATTAAGCTCAACCCGAGCTTTCGGCTTGAGCCTTTTCGAGCCGAGCCGTGAAGGCTCAATTTTGGTTTTGCTTTTGGTTTCGATTTCGGTTTTGGTATGTATTTTTTTCCCTTTAAAGTTCTAAGGCAGTCGAACGCTGCATTTATTTAAAGGCAACCTCTACGGCCTTTTTTAAGGCAGGAGGTTGCTGCCTTTAAAATGTTAATTTTTTTTTTAATTAAATATAGGCTGTGAGCCCGAGCCAACAAGTCACACGGGCCAACTCGAGCTTTGCCTAGCACCCCAAAATGGGCCTCGAGCCTGGTCGGATCGGGCTTGTTCGGGCCGAGCTACAGACGGCCCGAGCCAATGAGCTCGATTGCCATCCCTAGACCAAACCACAACACATCCGAAATTCTCTCTCAAAACCAAAGCGCCTATTGCCTTTAAAGTGGATCTGAAAAATATCTTTATGAATGATTCATGTAACGTTTATATTAATGAATGTCAGAAGTGTCAATATAAGATGTACGGTGGCTGATCACTTATTAATGTAATTAATATAGGGTGGAGAGTGATGTGAAGCTCCGGCCACTGGGGTGAGATCACGTGGTTCTGATCCAACGGTGACCACGTAGGCCTTAGCTCTATAAATAGCAGCTCTTCTAACATGTAAAGGAATTTTTGACAAAAATAAAAAAGCTTCACTTGACTGACATAATAACCCCAAGAAGGAGAAGAAGCCACTGGAACAAGTGCAAAAGCTTTGAATACTTACGAATTTAGGCAAAAAGACACCGAACAGAATTGATCGAAATCACAAAAGGAAGACTTGAAGGAAAGTTTAAAGAAGATGGGAAGAACAAGGAGGAAATTCTTTGAGAAAATTCGAATTCTATTATCAACAAAAATAAAAGTGTTTTGCCCTAGGTTGACACCTTTTATAGTTAGAGGCACTTAATCCTAATCGTTGGATGTCAATCCAGATCATCCAACCGCTCCTTTGAAATTCAATCTGAACCACGGAAATCACGATTATCGTTTCACCTTTTATGACCCAAATTAGAGCATATGTACCACGCGTTCCAACGTGCCTAAACCATGAAAAAGACACCCACGACAGCTATCATTACTTACTAAATGCGACGACGATTGCGTGTATGGGAAACTGAACTGCTTCAACTATCTTTTTTGGATAATGCAAAAGACAGCTCATCATTTCAGCACAATAATTAAGGAGGCCTCATATTCCTAAACAATTCAGCTAGTATATCTTCTTAGAATTATTGCCTTTCAACTTTGGTCAATCACTGAAGTGGACCACTTCAGCCTTCACATTAAAAGCTTCAACAACACAGCATTTGTCAAATGGATCTCAACTTTGATAAGTACTTTGCACATCTCATTTTAGTTACATTTTTTAATTCCAATTCTCGTATAAACATTCACAATTAGACTTTGGGGATTATCTTGGATGGTTAAAACTACCCCAACAAAATTTTTAAAGTTACACAAAGTCCATGTACCAAAGAAATGATCATATATAGACTTGGGGAACTATTGTTACACCTCGTATCTGAAGCTCTCAATACAGACCACGTGGATGCATGCGGACAACTGGCAGTCAACAAAATCAAAAAGAAAGAGGACAAACTGCACTTTAGCCGAAGCACTTCCTCTTCTGACCAAGCCATAATGCATTCGAAGCTCTCTATTAAAGCCGAAGCGCTTCTTCCCTTTAAAGTGGGTTTGAAGAATATTTGTAGGAATTATTAATATAACGTTTGTATTAATAAATGTCAGAAGTGTCAGCATAGGATGTAGGGCGAATGACTCCTTGTCAATGTAATTAATGTAGAGCAAAGAGTAATGCGAGGTTCTAGTTGCTAGGATGAGGCCTTGTGGTTCCGATCCAACAGTGAATACGTCAGCCTTAACTCTATAAATAACAACTCTTGTAACATATAAAGGGATTTTTCGCAAAAAAATAGAAAATAAAAACTTCGTCTACTTGAAATCATAATCTTCTAGATGCATGAGATTGGGTTCATTTTGGATAGAGTTGTTCATGATCGATCTTTTATTTGCAGTCATTCTTTGTGATATTGTCGGTGCCCGAACTCTTTCGTCTCGTTTCATAAAGCATCTCCCACGTCCATTATCACCGTGACCCTCCAACTGTGTTTTCGGTCAAAATGTGTTGGAAATTGCTTATGTGGATGCTAGTGGGCCCGACATCTGTTATCCATGTTGTCATTGCAAAAAGTGGGGTTAATAGTAAACATATAATGAAAAGCTTAATCATTAGAACCAAAAATTTTTGAGTTTGTTCTTTTCCAAACATTGTGGATCAATTCATAATTGAATAAAAGCTTGTCTAATACAATTTTTTTTAGGGAAAAATGATTTTTAAGAATGTGTGACTAAAAAGTGGAGAAAAAGTTGTAGGTCTCATAAAATATTTGTTTGAAAATGATATCATTATAACATTCCATAACTTAGGTCTTGTTTGATAGTTTTATTTAAATTATAAGTTGATTAAACATTATTTTTAGGGTAATTAGCACAAAATGTCCCTACCTTTAAGGTTTATTGTGAAAAAGTCCCCACCTTTCATTTTTTTAACATTTTTGCCCTTATTGTGAAAAATGTCATTTTCACCATTTTTTTAATGTAAAATGACCAAAATACTTTCCCATTTAAATAAAACCAAAAAAATAAATAAACAAGTAAATAATTATTATTAAAAGGCCTAATAGCATAAAATGTCCATACATTTGGCCTATAATGTGAAAAAGGTCCATACATTTCAAATTGGTGAAAAAAACGTTTTCCGCAATGAAACGTGAAAATAGGGATAAAAAAGCAAAAAAATTGACACAAAAGGACGTTTTCTGCAAAAAAGTGTCAAACGTAGAGATGTTTTTTTTATTTTAGACCTTATTAAAATATTAAAAAGAACAAAAAGAACTCTCTCTCTCTCTCTCTATCTCTCTCTCTCTCTCCTCTTTTCCTCCAAATAGGTCAACCACCTTAGAAGCCAAAAAAACTCCAGCAAACCACCACCTAAACTGTTGGACCACCATAATATCGATAAGCCCTCACTTCCCTCTACACATACGATCCAACATCCAACCTTGAAACCTTCGTGCCAATAAATTTGTTCAGAATTACAAGTCAAAATACGCAACTCATGAATGCAAATATTGGCGGCATCACCTATTCCGAAGAGACCCATGTCATTTCCAACACACCAATTGACTATACTCACTAGGACGCCTCTCTCTACGATTTTAAAATATCAACAGATAGTTCGACGGTATAAAGGTTCAACGGTTTGGACCATGGTTGGTTTGAGGTTTTTCACTTCTAACGTAGTAGTCCCATTTGGAAAAGAAGAGAAGAGAAAGAGAGTTTTTTTTTTAATATTTTAATAAGGCTTAATAGTGAAAAACATCCCCATGTTTGACACTTCTTGCAGAAAACGTCCCTACGTTACATTTTTTTACATTTTCATCCCTATTTCCACGTTTCATTGCAAAAAACATCATTTTTCACCAATTTGAAACATATGGACGTTTTTCACACTATAGGCCAAACGTAGGGACGTTTTGTGCTATTAGGCATTTTAATAATTATTTGAACTCGCTTGTACTTTTTAAAATATTTAGGAGTAAAATTGTAATTTATTCTTTATTTTTCTTTTCTTTTTTTTGGTTTTATTTAAATGAGAGGATATTTTGGTCATTTTAAATTAAAAATGGTGAAAATGGTGTTTTCCACAAAGAAATGCAAAAAATAAGGGCAAAAATGTCAAAAATGAAAGGCGGTGATATTTTCCACAATAAACCTTAAAGGTAGGAACGTTTTGTGCTAATTACCCTTATTTTTAACCAAACATTCCATTGGATTCAAAACTTTTATAAACTTCTAATTACATCTATGGTATTTCGTGGGATCCACCAGCTTATAATTTCAAAAAGTTTTGTCAAATAGGGACTTAAAAATTACTTGGACATGTTTCATTGTTTGATACAGGAATCAAGTATAGCTTATAATATTTCACCGGATATGTTTTATTTAAGTGTTTCACTTAGTCATCACGTTTGTGTCTGCATTGGACATGTTTAATGTGACATGACTAATCTTCATTTGACATGATTAGCCTAATAAAATTATATTATGGATAAAATAGTTAATTAGTTTTTCCCAACAACCCAATGTAGTGCATTGGGTCCTTTATTCTGTAAAGAAATGAGTTGTTACAATCACATGTGATGTTATTCTAAAAGTCATTTTTAATAAAAAGGTCATTTTTAATGAATAGATAAAGTAAACGTATGAGTTTGATTATATTGTTATAACAACTTAATTTATCTAAAATAATACGATGTATTATGAGAGTGATAAATTGATATTTGTACACAAGGAGTTGTTAAAAAGGAATATATTAGCAAAATTGATTATGAAAATTTCAATTGCATCATGCAAAACCATCTATTATACGTCGTATGAATTCCATTTATTTAGATAGGAGTAGAGATAGATGATACTCGAACAAGACCCTATCTACTTTGATATCATAATATAAAATTATTCGGAAAAATAATAATCTTTGATATGTGTATTCCGCCCACTCTCCCCCAACAAATACGGAAGAGAAATGAATAATTCAATAGCCGAAATCGTCGAAACACAATACAACTTGATCTATAAGAATGAATAATGAAAATAGAAAAAAGTAATACATGCAGTAATTTTATTATTATAGAATGTTAACCCTAATTGCTAGTAATTTAAAAAGTCAACAATTTATAAGAATTGATATGGAAAAAATAGCGAACTTATTTTTGTATGAAAGTTTGACTTGTCATCTTGTTCGCATGTACAGGCATTATAAATGACATTGCAACCAAGCAAGCGTTACAATGATCAATTGTTCTCTCAATTCTCTGCCTACATCTCCCTTGCTTTGATCAGAATACATAGAGATCAGGTATGACTGTATTTTCTACATTACCACTTATATTCATATCAAGATTCTGTTCACCTAATTCATATACATTTTTTGTGTATATAGGAGGGTTTTATGGGGAGTTCTGAAGATCGTTTTGCGGGGTTCAAGAATTTAGGTTTTAAGGGGAGTCGGGAAGATCGTTTTGCAGGGTTAAAAAATATAGCACCCAATTGTGAACGGATGCAGCAGCCCAATAATACTAGAAGTCCAATATTAGATGTCAAATCAGAAACATTGGCAGTCGAGGGTCCAAGTTGCGAAAAACCTTTTCATGCGCTTGCAAACTTGACAGTCGGTACTGCAGAAATTGCTGCTGCTGCTGAGAAGGGATTTAACGCTGGTGCAAATTCCCCAGTACAGAAAAATAGAAAATCCAACAAGAAGACCCGCAATAAAAGACAACTGAAAAAAGTTGCTGCTGCTGCTGCTGATAGGAACTACACACCGCCTAAAAGTGTGGAAAAACGTAAACGCGCATGTGACACTGACTCTGACTCGAAGGATGATCCCCCTAGATCAAAGAAATCTAAGGTTGTCGTCAATCGTCCTTTGAAATTCAATAAGTAGTACTTAGTAGTAAGTGAATTGATCCACATGTATCCTACCCAAAAAAGGTGCCTCCTTTAGCAAATAATTTTCATTCACAAGGATCTTCTTGATCCTGTTACTAATTAGTTGCTGCATGTTTTCTTTGATCTAGTTATACTGTTGGATAATAAAGGATTTATCATTTTCACCCTTTGATCATTTCTGAATGTTTAAAGTCGTCGAGAATATAATAACACATTAGATAATAATAGTTAAGCTAAATGATATTAAATTCAAATGGTAAACAAATAACGAAAAGTGTTCAAGATACACAAATCTTCATTAGTTGAACTGAAAACTTTTGAGGTTGTTCCTTTCCAAAATTTGCGGATAAATTCATAATTGAATGAAAGCTTGTTTGACACAAATTTTTCATAGAAAAACGATTTTTAAAAATGTGTGGTTAAAAAGTGAGAAAACTTGTGAGTCTCATAGAACAAGTATTTGAAAATGATTTGGAGGAAAATTAATTTCTTTAAAAATCTTACAAACAAGCCTTAAGTGAGGTATGCTTGTTTATTTTTTTTATTTAAAGAATTCGACAAAATAGTCCTGTAACTCAATAAAATCGTAATAATCAAATCTATTTTATGGTATACTCATGGTAATACTCCAAACTTAGCTACTGTTTAATAATTTTTTTAAGAAGTTGGTTAAATTTTATTTATAACCATATATTTTAATAGATTCAGAACTTTTATCCATTTTTAATTACATATTTCATGATATTCACCAATTTATAATCTCAAAAAGTTTTGTCAAATAGGGACTTAATAAATTATTTGCATTGTTAGCCCTATAACCCAATTAATTTACATATAAATCAAGAATTCAAATGGTTGAAAGGGCTAAATGAGAAGAAATTAAGTATGTGTTTTTGAATATCGATATAATTAAAACCACAAAGGTTAGGAAAATCTTATAAGAACTTATTGTTGCGGAAAAAAGATGAAAATCGTGATTTGATGAAAATCGAGATTCGTCAAACCATCCAATATCAAACACCAATCAACCCAATTGGCTCAATCCACAACTCTTTCCTTCCTTCGGTTGCCCAGTTTATTATTCCCACCAAGGACACACTTTGGTGGCTGCAATATGTAACACAAAGGAAGAGGATAGTTGTACATGAAGAGCTCGGGCACGAAAAGATAAAACACAAAAAGTAGCTACCCTCAGAAAAACACAATTGCAAGCACCTGTTAATTCCCAAACAAAAGCTCAATATAAAGTTTTAGGGATAGATAGACAAATGGGCTAACTCAAGGCAAATGAAAGTAAATGGGTCATGAGCAACATTAACTAATTAAATTGCTTTCAACTCGGGTCGAGTCAACAAATTGATGTGTTGAGAGTAATTTCACTTATCAACCGAGGCCTATAAATTTTAATTCAAACCACTTAACATCATTGTTCGAAATTTATTGTGTATCAAAACCCAACACTTATAAATGTACTTCCAGGTATAGGATTGATCTTCGCGAACGTGTGTTATTTACTTCTTTACATCAATTTCTCAAGTTTCATCTTAACAAAAATTTGTCATTTATAGAATGCAACCCTAATTGTAAGTAATTGAGAGAGTCAACATTTAATAAGAATTAATAAGGAAAAAATGACGAACTTATTTTTCATAAGAATGACATTTCTTATTACTGTATAAAAGTTTAACTTGTCATCATATTTCCATACGCAGATTGCAGGCATTATAAATGAAATTACAACCAAGCTGGTAATGACCAATTGTTCTCTCAATTCTCCGCATGAAACTCCCTTGCTTTGATCAGAATATATAGAGGTCAGGTATGACTATTTTATCTTCATTAGCGTATATATGCATATCAAGATTATGTTCACCTAATTCATATACTTTCTTTTTTTGAATATAGGAGAGTTTTATGGGTAATCCTGAAGATCCCTCTACGGCAATTGCAAATATAGGACCCAATAATAAATATCCGAACGACGAGAGGCCACAGATAATTCATCATCATGTAGGAGTGTCAATTTAAATTGAAGACTCGAATGGCCTGGGAAAAGCTCAAGCAAGCCTGGCTGTGGCTAGGTTCTACTGAGCCCCATTTTGGAACGTCAGCCCAAGCCCGAGCCAGCCCATGTGTCTCTACCAGTCCAAAAGAAAATTTATAAAATAAATAAATAAAATATACAGCTTTGGCAACTATACGTAGCTGCCTGCCTGCTTAAAATTTTCAGTAGGCAGCTACGTGGCTACCTTTAAAAAAAAAAGGCTAGCCAGCCCGGTTCAACTCGATAAAATCAGAGCCGAAAGCTCAGTTCGTGCTTAGATTTTTTGTCTTTTGTTGGGGTCAAAAAAAGCCTGAATCATTTTTACTCGAACCAAGCCCAAGCTTCAAGTTTCGACTTGTGAGTTGAATCGACTCGATTTGTTGGCGTCCCTATTATCATGTAAACCAAGAATAATAGCTTTGCAATTTTAGACATTGAACCAGTAACTTTTTTGTCTTTAAACACAAAATTTAAGAGACATTAAGATCACAGAGTATAGTATCAAGAAGAGAAATCAATAAATAAGCAAAATCAGTTCATAAGCAAAAAGGTCTTCTTGTCAAAGCCGTTTTGATTTTGTTCCTGCTACTGCTTGAAAAAAATATATAAATAACAAAAATTAAAAAAAATTATAATTTTCCTTTTTAAAATTAACCTCCTATGAAGATGGAGCCATTCAGAAAAATATCTTCTTTTTGGTTTGTGTTTGGATCCCAACATCTTCTTAATTCTTTGAGAGCTAGTTGCATGTGTTTGACATAATATTAATGATAATTGTTAAGTGCGTTATGTGCACTTATTCAAGTCATAGTACTAAACTTTTATATCGTCAAATTATTAATTTCTACTTAACTTGAGTTAATTTTCATTTTTATCAATGTTGGACACATTTTGAAGCAATTGGAAAAGAAATGATGATCAATCGGCCATTGGATGAAATTTTGGAGATAATATTTCACACTTTGAAAATTGAAGGACTTGAATTAAAATAAAAAAAGGCAAGGATTGCACAAGTAATTGGACTCAAAGGACTAAATTGCATTAATTATGAAGAATGAGGCCTTGTGTGACTATTGTCACTTCGGCCAACACACAAGATGAGAAGACAAGCATCACATTATATGGGCCTTTGAACATGGCAATTGAATGGGAAACAAATTCTAATTAAACTAGAATTCAAGAAAGCTGATGGCAGGAAGGTCCAATTGAAATTGTCAAATTGGGCCAAAAAACCAATTGGGAAAAGCTTGAAAGTTTAAGTGGAATTGGAATCTTCAATTAACAACACATTGGCTGCTGTTGAGGATATATATATATATATATACACACACTAGTCTTTTTCATGTGTGTTACACAAATTTTGTATTTATTATATTTTTATTAGTTTCAAAATTGTAGGTTTTGTAAAACTTGTTGAAGATTCGAAGTTTTTGGTGAAGTTCAATTGTTTGGTCTATTACATTATCGCAAGATATACGGAGATCTCTCTCCGTGCCGCACAAAGTTTTCAATTTGTTTTGTTTTTATTATAAATAATTTTTTTATTTAAAATTATTTTTCCTTTATGATAAAATTTAATTTTTTCAATTTTAATTAAATAATATCTATATATTTTTTATTTCATTTTCGTAACTTTCATTTGTTAAATTTGTTTTGTTTTTATTATATTTCTATAATTTTTTTAAATTTCTTTTTTCTTCATATTATAAATAATTTTTTATTATATTTAAAATTATTTTTGATTCTTTTCGTTTTATGATAAAACGTAATTTTTTCAATTTTAATTAAATAATATTTATTTTTATTTTTAATTATTTCAATTTAATTAAAAAATTTATAATAATTTTTTTTTGCTTTTTTTCATCTCGTTTTTTATTCCTTTTTATCTGTATTTACAATACAAGAAGATATCATTTCCTTACATTGAAAGGTAAAACGACGCCATTTTATCTTATTAGTATGATAAAAGATTGAATGTATCTTATATATAATTATAAAAGAATAATAATTAAAATCTTGATCAATGTATATTATATACACTCATTACCTTAAGTTTGAGATGATTTTTTTTTTCAAAATGGAAAAATTCAAGATAATAATTAAAATCGAGAGTCCTAATATTAAGAACTATCATTCTCAACTCCGCATCTAGATGGTATTCTATGTTGTGAAATTGAAATTTATAACTTTAACAAGAGATAATAGAATAAAACACAATCTCAAAAATTTAAGTGAATCAAATTGTGACTATCATTTTACACCAATACTAATAAAACAATCAAATGATTTAACAAATTAGAAAAAAAAAAGAAAATTGCAGGCAAAAAAATATATAAAAAAAAGTTATTATAAAGTATTTTAATTAAATTGAAATAATTAAAATTAAAATAAATATTATTTAATTAAAATTGAAAAAATTAAGTTTTATCATAAAACAAAAATAATTAAAAAAATTTAAATCAAACAAAAAATTAATTATAATTTGAAGAATAAAGAAATTTTAAAACAATTTTAACAAATAATAAAAACAAAAGAAAATTATGAAAATTAAATAAAGAGTATATAAATATTATTTAATTAAAATTTAAAAAATTAATTTTTATCATAAAGAGAAAAGAATTGAAAAGAATTTTATATCGAAAAAAATATTTATAATATGAAGAAAATAAATTTTTAAAAAAAATTAGCTATAGAAAATTTTCATTTTCCCTTTTTTATTCCTTTTTACCTGCATATATAGTACAAAATGATATCGTTTCGTTTTATTGCATGGCAAAACAATACCTTTATTCTATTAATATGATAGAGGATTGAATATATCTTATATATAATTATAAAAAAATATCAATCATTTAATTAATAATAATTAAATCTTGATCAATGCATGTTATATTCATTCCTTATCTTAATGTTTGAGATGGATTTTTTTTTTTAAATGGAAAAAAATCAAGATAGTGACTAAAATCAAGAATCGTAACCTTAGGGATTATCCTTCTCAACTCGGTATCTAGATGGTATTCCATTCTGCAAAAATTCAAATATTAGAATATTGAGCAAGAAATAATGAAATAAAGCATAATCTCAAAAAATAAACGAATCAAATTGTAACTATCATTTTACACCAATAAGAA